GGATAATCTGGTCTAATTATCTGAAGTTAAAATTTATCCGAATAATTATATCATATTCGGATTATCCGAACTGGTCAAATAAAAAGTTCCATCTCTAACTTGATCCCAAAACTTAATAAAAATTTAGAACCCAGAATTATTACGTATGTCAAATTAATTAATGCAAAACACAAAATTAATAAATAAATAAACCTTTCTAATGTTTAACTTTATCGATAAATACAACTTTTTTTTTCTTATTAATTATTAAAATGGAAAGTTACGACTTTTAATGTGTGAAACCTTTCATCAAAGGAAAAACAATCGCCGTTTAATATCAAAATAAATACAATTAATGTTTAACTGTAATGACTTATATAGTCCAAAATTCAAATATTGGGTAATATAATTTAAAATTATTTACGTTGAACTTTATACGATTAAACAATCTGGGGCCGCAAATTTGTCCTGTAATGTGTATTTTTTTTATTGTTTTTGTTTTTTTATTTATTTGCATTGCGCATTTTTTTATTTATACGAATTTTTTTTATTTTATTTGGAGCATTAAACCATTTTTCTAATTTTATTATAAAGAATTTAATAGGTTTTTGATTATCTTTATGTAAAAATTTGCTTTTTTCACGCAAAAGAACTTTAATAATATAATTAATATTATTGCTTGGGTTATATAATTTATCGCTGGGCATATAATTTTAAATTTTTAAAATTTTCACCGATTGAGAAATGACCTAGGTTATTTCAAAATTCCAGGATGACCTAGGTCAACCTAAATTGTGAAATGACTCAGAACATCTACATGTAAATGATTATGTAAATAAGTCTATACATTAAAAAAAGTAGGATTTATGTATCACACATTTCAAAGTAAATACGTCACTCATTTTATCTAAAATTGGATGTCAAAACATTAGATTAATAATATCTTGGTTACTGCGTAATTAACGGCCGGCCAGTATTATCACTGTATAGATGAAGGATAAATTTATTTTAATCTTTTTCTACAATAATTTCTACATTATTAATCTTTTTATAAATTAAATATTAAATAGTTATTTTTATTTGATTTAATTAAGAAATATAATTTCTCTAATATCTATGATGTCTGGGACCCCACCAGTTGGCGTTGGTTACTAAGTAACACTAGGGATTTTTTAAATTTCATGTTACATCTGATCTACGTTTTAATTTACCGTGTGATCAAACATGTGATTAAACATGTGATCATAGCACTAAGCTGCAGGACGGAGTTGCTAATTCAGATCTCGCAGACTCATTGTTTATAAAATCTAAAATAGTCGTATCAAACGTTTATGGTTTAGTTGTTATGCGCAGCCTAAAAGTCCCCAACTTCTTGTACAGAAATATATTGATAACAAAGACCACCTAAGAATGTATCGGATTTTAATGCCATCTCTGACTCCCGGTCCATTATGTATATTATGTCATAATCGGTACACTAATTCCGAATCTGCCTTTTATTATAGCGGTAAAATTGTTTTTTTCGGAGAGATGATCTTTGGGTAGGCCATAAGTCAGGTCATAAGTCAGGTATATTAGCATATACCGATACAGGATTAATCGAAAGTGTTAATATAAAGAGGAATTTTATTAAAATGGCTCCCTATTTGAAAAATTCATTAAGCCTATTAAAATTATAAATATTTGGAATTATCCATTTTTATTAAAACAAAGAATTAAATCATTTATCAATAACGATCGAATAAAATAGTTTCATATCAACGTACGTGTTTCACAAAATAACGGAGTTCTAACAGCTCTAATCCGATCTATTTTTTTTGTAGAACTTTAAATCTCCGATTTTAGAAATACAAATAACCGTTAATGTAACAATAGATACAGAAAAAAAAATGATTTCCGGAAATTCTTTAAAGATCATATTGCCTAATTTTAACTTGTGATACGTACTCAAAACAATACTGATAGATTTATCGATATAAAAGAAAGTAAGGTTTCATAATAGTTTTGGGTGTTTCTTCGATAAAGATTAGGTTTTTAGGTGATTATTATTATACATTTTATTATTACGCATATTTGAGATCACATGAAATGTTTAATAACACTACGTAATCAGCAATTTTATAGATTTATATAAACGTACGTACATACGTACGTAAATTGTAAGTTTTCCTTTTTTTTTTGATCGATCATTAAATTCTACAATACTTACGAATTAACTGATAATTAGTATTAACTGTAAAAATATTAACTGATAAAAATATTAATTGATAATAAATATTAATTGATAAATAATATTAATTGATAATAATCATTAACTGATAGTAAATATAACCTTGATTAATTTCTTTATAGGCCGTCTAGTCTCGATGAGTAATTCCTCTCCATTTCATTCATTCCATCCCGATGAAAGATACACAACTCGTATCAAAAATATTTTAACTGAATATCCGGATGGTTCCCAAATTCTTAGGGAAATTTTACAAAATTCTGATGACGCAAAAAGCACCGAACAAACTTTCATTTTAGATCATAATACTTATCCTACTGAAAAATTATGTGATCCAAGACTTGATAGATATCAAGGTCCCGCACTTTTGGCCATTAACAATAGTATTTTTCAACCAGATGATTTTAAATCTTTGTTAAGTTTGGCTAATAGTGAAAAAAGAAATAAATTTGATAAAATTGGAGGTAAATTATTATTTAAAATAATTTTATAATAATTTTAATTCGTTGCATATAAACTTGTTCTTTTTTCTGTTTGCAATTTTTTTTTCATTATTATCTAAACAATTTAATTATAATAGCAATTTGATTATATATTAATTGATTCAAAAAGATCGTGATTTATATTTCTTATATATAACAAAAAATTCAATCTACATTTTACATTTAACGTTTAGCGTTTAATGTTTAACGTTTAATGTTTAATGTTTAATGTCTAGAGATTTTTCGGACCCCTTTAATTGATAATACAGTATCGATATCGATATTAGGAATCTAACCAATAATTTTTGATTTTTTAGTAATGGGCATCGGATTTAATTCAATTTTTCATATTACTGATGTCTGTTCTATTGTTTCTGGGTCATCTTACGTTTTAATCGATCCTCATGCACATGGTTATTGCAATTTATCACCTGGTCAAAGAGGTTTCAAAGCCGATTTTGTTGAACATGACCTAGTTAATAAGGTATGTTAAAACTTGTTTATCATATACAATCATACGTACTTACTAAAGATTAGTTCTAACTAGTTTTCTATCTACTAGTACCCTGATCAATTTATGCCCTTTTCAGTAGCTTTGAATGGTAACCTTGATAAGTTTTATAATGGAACAATACTTCGGTATTCTCTTCGAACGGATGCTGATGCTGCTGAATCAGAAATTTCTAATAAATCATATCAAATTAATCAAATGAAAGAATTATTCAAGACTTTTTATAATGTTGACAATATTACTTGTCTCATATTCTTGAAATATATTGAAAAGATATCATTCTACGAGCTCAAAAAAGGCCATACTAATCCTGAACTTTTATATCAAATTGATATTACTAATGCTAAAGAAATTTCAAATAAGAGAAAGTTATTGGCCAATAATATAATCTCCATGATAACTTCTCCTTTAACTTCTGGAACTTTTGAAACTACTTACAGAATGAACTTTTGTCAAAGTTCTAATCAAGGTAGTATTAAAAGTGAATGGTTAATCATCAATTATATTGCTGATTTAAATGATGAACATTATATGAAATTTAAGACTTATATTCGTGATTGCAAGTTTGTACCAAATGTTGGTTTAGCTGTACGAATAGATGATGTATCAAAAAATTTAGGAAAACTTTATTGTTTTTTACCTTTACCTGGAAATAAAGATGATTTTTCTGTTTCAATTAACGGTTGTTTCGCCGTCAGTAAAAACAGAAGACACTTGGAAGTTTCTATGGATGATGATCTGGTATTTATTATTAATTCGTACTGTTTTAAGCAAATTTTGAATAATTTTATTAACAATAATGATTAATAATAATGTATTTTGTTGTTAGGCACCGGATGATTTATTACGTCTTAAAGGCGCATGGAATAAATATTTATTTGAAAAAGTCATCCCGATAGCATGGAAAAAACTTTTATCACAAGCTGCAGAATGTATATCATTTAAACAAATTTACACACTTTGGCCAATACCTAAAGATGGATACTCTCGAAGATTAGATGAAAACAGTTGTTTATGGGCTAATCTATTACAAAATGTTGTCAATCAAATTGATCCTAATCTTTACGTTTTTCGTGGTCCTTCAAAATATTTATCAATAAATAATGGATATTTGACTGATAACACATTTAGTAAATCAACAATTTTATCCGAAATAATGACAAAATTGGAATTTCCTATTTTTGCAAATATGCCGGATTCAATTGTCTATACGTTAGAACAAAACATTTCAAAACACAAACCAATTTTAAAGTATATTACTCCAGAAATTGTTTGTGAATACATTCGTTATAACCTACATAGGTTAAATATTCTTTTTCGTCAAGAAAAATTAATTTTGTTGGAATATGCTCTTATGACTAAAGATATTTCTAAACTTTATGGTCTTCCTTTACTTCCAGTTGGAAATCGAACTTTTGCTACCTTTGGTCCTCAAAATCATGACAAATTTTTTATTGTTAGTAAATATGAACATACCATTATTAATGTTGATCACTTAGGAATAATTGTTGATACAACAATTGAAGAAAAACTTTTATCAACTTTACAAAATTATGCAGAAAATAATATCAACATTAATGTTCAAATTCTTTCCGAAGTTGGTTTTGCAAATCTAATTAAAAAATCTTTGCAAGTACATCAATCATATTCTGAAAATTATCAAGGAATGATAATGAAGAAAGATAAACTGCAATGGATTTATGATATTTGGAATCATTTACAATTAACTGATAGAGATTTACAAAACTTTTCTGACATTTATCTTTTACCAATTGACAATAATAATAATAATAATAACGATGATGATGATGATATCATCATTTTGAGGAAATTAAATGCAACTCCAAAATGTCTACGTCGTATGTCAAGTAGTTCAATCTCATTTATTCGAGATTTAACTCCAACTTTAACATTATTGGGTTCAACCTTTGTGGATATTGAATTTGAAAAATATATAGTTTCAAATTATGAAAGGTATGTCATATAAACTTGTTCAAATTTTACAATTATTATATTTCTCCGACATGTGTACTCCTCAAGTTTATCTTTAATAAGAATATACTTGGTAGCAAATGTCGGATTAATGTGAAATGTTCTAATGTATGAGTATACTAAAGTATATGTTAAACATTATATTCTAGTCTTAAGAACTATGTAATTGAGATCAATAACGTAACGGCTGTCCTCTTATCTCTTAAAGAAAACCATTCTTTTCCATTAAACATTACTCGAACAATTTTTTCAGATTCTCAAAAAGAGAAATTAATCAATTATATTGGTGCTCATTTACGTTATGAATCATCTTTTGATCAGAATATAATAGATGTAATCAAGTACATCCCAATATTTAAAGAAATAAATAATGATAATTTTATAAGCATTGATTCATTAAACACATCTGGAAAAAGATATTATTTACTCCCTAAACAAGACGAATTATCATGCGGACTTATTATTTCACCTTACGCATTTTTGGATGCTCACACATCTGATGATATTCGTTTTATTCTTGAAAAAGTAATTCAAGTTAAAAGATTGGAGCAAAGAGAATATTGGAAAGATCACGTTATCTCTTATTTAGATTCTCAAACACCTTATGTTATGGATCAAATAATCGTAAAGCTTTTTGAGAAATGGAACATTATTAAACCTTTTCTAAATGATCTTTCTCAAATAAAGTTTGTTAAAACTTGTTCTGATCGAAAAAGTCCGATCGAAATTTTTGATCCTGATAATGAACGAATCAAAATTTTATTCTTTTCTAATGAACCATTCTTTCCTAAAAAAGATTATCCAACTCATGATTATCTTTTTAAATTACGTGAATTGGGAATGAAAAGATCTATGACTGGTTCGGACATTGTTGATCGAATAGAAAATTATAAAAAATTTATAACAAAAATACATGATTATGATGATTTTGTTTCTATCCATGAAAAGTCACTTTTACTTTTAGAATATATTGATGATCATTACGAGGAATTAAAAGATGATGTTTCGTTTAAGGAAAAACTTCAAACATTAGTATGGATTCCTACCTTTAAACCAGGACCTGATAATCAACGTACATTCTCAAAAGTTTCAGATTGTCGAGATAATTTACATCAAGAACTTGTTTCATATACAATACCAATAGTTGATGTTATGATAAAAAATAAAAAGTTTCGTCAATTTCTTGGATGGGATAAAGATCCACCAACAGAAATTGTAATAAAACAATTATTACATTTGTTAAATTTAATGAAAGTAACAAGAAAGGAATCTAAACATTCTCTTAGAAAACGAATCAATGCAAATTATGAACATTTAAATAATATAATTAATCAACCAGATGGTGAAACTCATTTAACTCTTTTAAAACAAAATTTATCAAAGAAACCATGGATTATGAATGATTTAGAAGATTATGATCTTTATTTTACTAAGAATATAGTATTTTCTCTTCCAAAGTTTATTCCATATGGTCATTTTCTTCCACTTTCTTGGCATAATAGAAAGAATTATTCATCGCTTTTTGAAAAACTTGGTGTTAGAAAAACACTTGAAACTCAAGATTTTATCAAAATACTTCAATGTGTTGATTTTAAAGATCCAATAAATAGGAACAATATAATGACAATAATTAATGTATTATCAAAAAGTGGAGATGATTTAACAGGACTATTAATTCCAAATATGAGATGTCAGATGGTAGATTATAAAATATTATTTTTTGATGATATGGGTCCAAGAGTTAATAATACAATGAAAAATTTTAGTACTTTGGCACATTCAGAAATTTCTAAGGATCTCGCAAATAGATTACAGCTCAAAAATTTAAGTGAGTCTCTCTTGAAAAATATGATGTTTGATTTTGGGCAAAATGAAGAAGTAACAACAAGATTGAAAAATATTCTTAGGGTACGTATATAATAATAATTAAACAAACATTAACAAACATTAACTTTGGAATCTTATTATCACATTTACACATTTACACATTTATATATTTACATATTTATATATTTACATAGGATTATGATCGTAAAGAAATGATCTTTAGAGAATTTCTCCAAAATGCAGATGATGCTTATGCAACTCGATTCTGTGTTATTCTTGATGATAGTGAATATTCAACCAATTCTTTATTAAACGAAGAAATGAAATGTTGGCAAGGACCTGCGATATGGATATATAATGATGAACAATTTACTGATAACGATTTCAACTCTCTTTGTAATCTTGGAAATAGTCACAAATGGTCAAAACAAGATAAAATTGGAAAATTTGGTGTTGGATTTAATTCATGTTATCATTTTACAGATTTACCACAAGTTATATCAAAATCAAGTTTAATAATGTTCGATTCACAAAGAAAATATTTAAATAGTAGTGGGGCTAGATTTGATTTCAATGATTATAATGAAAATCATGTCTTCAATAAATTTGAAGATCAGTTTGAATCTTTTAGGAAACTTAAAGGTTGTGGGTTCAAACTTGATTATAATGTAGAATTCAAGGGAACTTTGTTTAGGCTGCCACTTAGACAAAATGGAATAGAAAGTTCTATTTCAGATAATGTAAATAGTATTGACGAGATTATTGAATTATTGAATATTTTAAAGAAGGATGCAATGTCAGAATTGATATTTCTACGCAATGTAAAATTTTTTGAAGTTTTTAGAAAAACTAACAAGGAAACTGATCCAAAGCTCTTATGGAAGGTTGAAGTCACAAAAAATAATGAAAATCGTAAATTATATGGAAAAGAATCGCAAATATTTAAACTTGATGTTCAATTTTCGGAACAAACAAAATGGTTTGGTATAGCAGAAAAGAAACCGGAAAAGAAAACATGGCTTATAAGTTCAGGAAAAAATGATTTTTCTCTAAACAAACTAGGTACATGGGGTGGAGTAGCTGTATCGATGCCTGAGAAACCAGAAAGTCCATTGTCATTAAATGAAACTACTCAAAATGGAAAATTTTATTCGTACCTTTCACTTACCATTCCCTCAGGACTCTCAGTAAATTTGCATGCAAGTGGTTGGGCACTTTCATCTGACCGAAGAAACATTGTGTTTGGAAGTGATAGTCAAGCATGTGTTAAGGATGATGCAAAAGCAACTCAAAATAAGAATATCTTGGACAAAATTCTTCCAGAACTTCATGTTAAACTTTTTGAAGAATATTTAAAAATAGAAGAATCTTCTAGAGCTAGATTGCAAAAAAACTCCGATTTTCAAGGTATTTTACGATTATGGCCAATCCCCGCAAATAAAAATCCAGAAATTTCAAAATATGGATTAAGCGTAATCCAACTTGCATCTAAAGGAGGTTATAAAATATTTTGGTCAACACTTGACGGTGGTACATACGTTAATTTCAATGACTGTGTCTTTTTAACTAAAAAAACACCTCCAACAGAAATTCATCAGGCAATTATTAGCTTGCTTCATGATCAAGGACGCCCTACAGTTTTAATAGATGATAAACATTTAGAAGAATTAGAAAGTCTAAATCCTCAAAAAGCTGATTCCCCATTTATTCGAAGCATTTTGAAAAATAATGAATTTTTATCAAATATTCGAGAAGAACACCTATTTATCATACTTAGATATATTCTTGAAGATAAAAAATATGATGATCTCGAAAATATTCCATTGGTTCCATTATTTGGCAATCAATTCGGAAAATTTGACAAAAATAAAGCATATTACATAACTTCAAAGGAAGAGTATAAATTGTTTCATAAGGCTGGTCCACGTTGTTTTATTCCAACTGAAACACTTAAGACGCAAAAGTTATTACCATTCTTTAATGATGAAGATTTCTGTAATGCTACAAATATTAAAAAGTTTGGAGAGCCAACAATTAATGGTCTTCTAAATCAAGAGATAGATATTGCTTCGGAGCGAGATTGGAATCCATCTGGTGCATTGATTCCAAATCAGCAATGGCTTGATGAAATATGGAAACGTATCATTGACTCTCCCCTAGAACCGTATAGTCCATTCCCTTTATTAGAAGTTTATGATCTGAATAATCAACGTAACCCTTATCTTATTAGTTTGAAAAATGCTGAATCCAAACCCTTAATTCATCATAACTCTTCAACTAATTCTGATATAAAACGAACATTGGCAAATCTTGGAATTCGTTTCACTAAACATCAATATGATAAGAAACTTTCTAAATATATTTACGAGTTAAATCCATCTAATGTTTTATCTGCCATAAAAAAATATCAATGCGTTGAGAAAAAGCTTTTCATTGATAAGAAAGATAGGGAAGTTCTATGTCAATATTTTTGTAATGATATGAGTTTAAATACAAGATCAGGTGGTTACACGTATAATCTAGCAAATGAAATATCAAGGTTACCTATATGGAAAACGCATACTAAAGATTCTGATGGAAATCCAATATGTAAATCTATTGCGGATAATGATGTATATATAGTTCCCACACCCACAAATTCACATAATGAATTTACATTTTATACACCGAAAAACAAAGCTGTTTATTACTATGATACAGAAAACAATGGCTTTATGTGGACATTATTATCAGGTGCACGTGCTAAGTTGCGTGATAAATTAGCATTTGTTAGAGATATTATTTCCTCTGATATGGATGAAATTCCTCAAGATTTACAAGCATCTTACTTGAAGTTTTTAAATGAAATATTTGCTGATGCTGATAATATCTATGGATTAAAGGATTATCTAAAAGATTTAAAATTCCTTCCAAATAAACATTTTAAACTTGTTTGTGCAAGAGATTTATATGACCAAAATCACGAGTTATTTAAAGTTATTTACGATGAAGATCGATTTCTTCAAAACAGTATCCAAGATAATTCAATTTCTTTAAAAGTACTTGAAGATATTGGATTAAAAAGAAAAGTTGATGAATACACCTTTATTAGATGTGCTGAAGAAATTGCAAACAAATTTGAAAAAAATAAAGATAATAAGGATAATTCTTCCGTACTTAGAAATATTAAAGAGTCAGCAAAAAAGACTGTATTCTACTTTTATGATCATCGTGATTTAAAATTTACTGAAGAAGAATGGAATGAATTAGCAAATATTAAATTTGTTCCAATTTCGAAATTTAAATTTGGCCCAAATAAATTTTTAAATGATTTATATTCTCGTTATTCTCGTTACGGAGAAGGCATTGAAAATGAATTAGAATGCTTTAAAAATTTATGTCATCCAAAATACGTGAATCTTGCATGGACACAATTAGCATTCTTTGAAGATGAACCACCTGAAGAAATTTTGAAAAAATATGAGGAATTTGAAATACCTCTTGGTGTACCTAATATTCCAACAATCATTAATCATTTAAAAGCAATCCAATCAACAGTATCCAAGTCAAATGATTGGAACGATTTAGGTAAAATAGGTTCCCGTTTGATATTTGAGGAATTAGGGCAGATATATAAAAAATTGGAATTTATTTGTGAAGAACAAAAATCTAATTTTCCTAGAGGACTTAAAAGGCTTCCAATCTTTTTAAATGGTACTAATCCATTCGATTCACAAAGTTGGGTTACAGCAACAAATCTTGATTTAAGTCTTGAAGAAGATTTCAGCCCAAAAAGAAGAGCCGTTGCTGAACATCTTACACAATATCAAAACCTTTTAAAATTAGCTGGTGTAAATTCTTCTGACATCCCTGTTTGGAGCAAGCCTGAACCTAAAGAAGAAAATTCTAGCCAATTGTCCAAATCGATGATAGAGCTATTGGATGATGGAAATAAAACACCATTTAATAATGTTTTGTTTAATATAAACGATCAAGAAATTTATGCTAATTCATCAATATTAATTTGTGCCGTTCCATATTTTAGAAAAATATTTCTCGAACCTTCACCAACAAACTTTTATAATGAAATATATGAAGACATAGAACCTGATTCATTTCGAATATTATTAAGATGGTTATATGGAGAGTCATTATCTCAAGCTATACAAAATAGCGGAAAGAAATATGATGACGGATATTTTCAAATTTATCAAGATTTTTTGATAGCATCTCAAAAATTTGATCTTAAGTCAATTAAAGAATTGGTTGAATATAAATTAGCTAAGTACATTAGTGACGATTTAATTGATGACAATTTAGAAAAAATTAAAGAGTTAGCTGATGAATTTGGTTTAGAAGAACTCCTTAAATATTGTGAAAAAATTGAAAAGGCATTGAATGAAGAAGAAGATGAAGATTCTCAGGAAGATACAGGTGAAAATAGTAATTCTGCAATAAACGTAACCAGAAATAAACCGAAAAAGCGTTCTATTCTAAAGAAATTAAAGATGAAATTTAGCAAAAACCTTATGTCAAAAACAGATACGAAACGTAGATTTGGTTCCTAGTACATTAATTGATATATTTAAAATTTTCTAGTAAATTTTTTAAAGCATATTTTATTTCTTTTATGTTTAAATATTAGCCTTCCCTTTTGTAATTCTGTCATATAATATATGCCATTTGTTCTTCGTGGCAGTTGACAAAATGTTGATTATACAGCTGTTGATATGTAAACATTATCTATATGTAATCATTGTTAACCATTAATATAATATTTAATCTTGTATTAATTTTTTTAACAAAAGCAACTGATTATTTTTTCAAATAATTTCATTTTTCTTTGATTCTATTATATTTTTTGTCTTTAGTCTTATTTAATGTCAGGGATTATGCTGAAATTCGGTGATCAGACAATGGGTTTTTAGATTTCACGATCATTCACCGACATTCATTTTGTAGACATAACATTTCACCGAACTCAATTCATCCACATTTTTATTTCGATAACACGTTTATTTCACTGACAAGTTTTTTTCATAAATTCTGTTAACCTTAACTCTAACACTAGCCTGTCCCTAACGACAATGGCCAGAATTATTTTGTCGGTGAAATAAATTATCGGTGAAATGAACTTGTCGGTGAAATAAATGCTCACAAAACAAAATGTCGGTGGATTGAGTTAGGCGAATGTTACGTCTACAAAATGAGTGTCGGTGAAGTTAGCCGCACCGCCAAATTTCAGCATCAACCTCTACATTTAAAATTTTAAATTTTCTAATAAGATAGCTGCGCAACGCAGTTTCACGAAATTAGTGAAAGCGGGCGAAACGGCGAGTCAGTCGCTCCGCAATCCAAATTCTTGCGTAACATACGGTTGGCTTAGTCGGAAAGAGGCGTTTAGATTTGGTCGATGGTTTGGTTTCCGTAGGTAAGTATTTCTTTACTTGTTTTGAGTCTTTCTTGTTTTGAGCTTTCTACTAACTTTATCCTCAATTACCTCACTACTTCGGGTAATTGAATGACATGTATAACCTCACTATAATTATTAAGACTACATCAGTGTTCCCTCCCTTACTGACTACTTTACTTACTTCGTCCCTTTGATCGGAAAGGACTTTTCCTACGTTTCGGTCCTTTTTGACGATTCTGACTTTTCTAGCCAGGTCACCGTTATACCAGGAACGGAGTTTGTACAACGTACAACGTAGTATGTGCATGCATTTCGGTTTAAAGCCATGCTAATTGTTTATTCCTGATCTTACCGGTTTTGACTATCGTATGATTTCTATATAAAAAAAACGCTAACGTTAATGTGTTTAAATTGGATTTGATTTAAAATATAACAAATGCAAGTTTTTGCTTATACGTACCAGGAACGGAGTTATTGTTTTATGGTGAGTGAAGTGTCTCTGTTATGCGTCATTTCTCAATTTACGTCGATCATTAATTGACGCCTGTCATTTTTCAATTTCCACCGATTGATAAATGACCCAGATCAATAATCAATGCAGATCATATTATACGTATAATCAACAATAGCTTATTAAATTAAATATTATAATCAAATTAACGATAACTTATTAAATTAAATATTATAATCAAATCAACGATAGCTTATTAAATTAAATATTATAATCAAATCAACGATAGCTTATTAAATTGATACCAATAATGATAAATAAATAAATTTTGAAAAATGATTCTTTTAAGTAATTCTTTTATCATCGTTTATTTTTTTCTCTTTCTACTAATGAATCCACAAAGTTATTCTTTTTTGACCCGTGAGACCTTTAACCGAATATTGGAAACATACACAAATCAGAGAAAAAACAAGCATAGTTTGATGGATAGAGAATGCTATAATGAATGTCTTAATATATTAAAAAATCCAGATATTCAGTGTAATGTTACATTTAAACATTGGATCATTAATACCTTTAAAGTTCAGTTTATTGGTACTATGGAAGAATTTCACATATATAAACAAAGCAGAAATAATTTAGGAGCTCAAATGTGCATGGTTGAAAATTTTTATGAAGTAATTTGTGGTGCTCATCAAGTGATCAAACACAGGAGTCAAGAGAAGACCTGGAAAAAGGTATAAAAAAAAAAGGAAAAAAAATATATAAATAAAAATAAACTTTTTTTTATTTAATAATATATAGATCTATGTTCAGTATTGTTATATTCCCCAGTAGTTGGTAGAAGATTTGATCAATGAATGTAACATATGCATTACTCGAAGAACTTCAAAAAGAATCCCACAGATGCATCCAATTATTTCTGAAGGCTTTCTGAATCACATTCAAGCAAGTGAATAATTTATTAATAAAAAAAAAAAAAAGTATTACTAATTTATATGTTATAGTTTGATACTATTTATATGTCAATAATTCCTGATCAAGAATATAAGTATATATTTCACATCAGAGATTACTTTAATCATTTTTTATATACTAAACCAGCACAGTCTAAATCAACTGAAGAAGCTGTCATGTTCTTTCTTAACTTTTGTTTTATTTATAGTCTTTTAGCAATTATTTATACTGACAATGAAGAAGAGTTTGTTAGGAATACTTTTAAAGATATGCTAAGTTTCTGGCTAACAATTAAAATAGTTTATAGATAATCAAGAAATTTGTAATATCAAGAACTTGTGAAAAAAGAAAATGATATATTACAAAATAAAGTTAGATGTATAGATGAAAAAAACAGGTAGATCATATTGGAGTATTGATCTTAAATCTGTAATATGTAGGTTTTTTTTTTATATATCAATTTATATATTATTATAATTTTAGTAATAACAATTTAATTATGCAAGGGTCATGAATAACTAATATTGCTCAGCTCACAAGTCAACATCTTACAATTTGGTATTTGGTCAATTGCTTTATAATGATCATAATATAGCAGTAATTTTACAAGAAAATGGCAATAATAATTATAATAATGAAGAGTTAAATTCAGAAATTAATAATAATTCTAATTTGAAAGGATCTTATTCAGACTCTAATTCAAATAGCTTGAAATATTTTACATGTAATTCAAATACTAGTGATAGTAGTTTTGATCAAAATAGTATTAATTCAAAAAGTTTTGGATTAATTACAGAAAGCAATTCAAAAATAATAATTATATCAGATGATTATAATAATTATAATAATTATATTGATTATAATAATTATAATTATGATCATGATATTTACGATTACTAAAAGTCAGATCCAAAAATTAATAATAGTTTTGATTTAGAAGGATCTAATTCATATTGCTCTAATTCAAATAGCTTAGAATATTTAATATGTAATTCAAATACTAGCAATAGCAGTTTTGATTAAAATAGTCTTAATTTAAAAAGTTTTAGATTTATTACAGAAAACAATTCAAAAATGATAATTATGTCAGACAGTTACCAAGCAAAATATTACATGTTCAATTCATAATATTCAGAAATGTCAAACTTATAATGTTCAATATTCAAGTCATACTATGCAAAAATATCCAACTCAAGAACACCCAACACAAGAATGTTCAACTCAAAAATACCCAACACAAGAATGCTCAACTAAAAAATATTTAGCTTATACATTTCCAAGTAAATAAATCAAAAAAAAATTGAATTTCAATTAAAATTTTACTAATATAATTTGAATGAAATAACAGTGCAATAATAATGGTTCAAACCAAAATCTTGTCCAGATTCTTGCAATTGCTGAAAAATAAATTGCAATACTAAATCATGCTCTTGTAGAAAGAAAAATTCATTAATTTCAAGATGCTGTAAATGCATTTATGTAGACAATGTAAAAATTTTTAGTTTCATTAATTTTAATATACCTTGTATAAATTTAAATATTTTTAGTTAAATGTATATCAAATTATCCTTTAAATATTTATTATAAATAAATGTTTTTTTTAATTTGCAAATTTTATACTGATTAAAAATTAACATATGTTATTTTTCAATTGAAAAATAATATGCATTAATTAATAATTGACAGAATTTAAAAATAATGCATAACATCTCTACATTATATATGAATATAAAAATTTATTTGCCCTTTGGCAATCTGCATCACTATACATCACATGTTTAGTGATGTGCACATTCATAATCTGTAACAAGCTAAGCCACTAATTTAAATTTCTGTCTGATTATATTTTCAGAATAATATTTAACAGTCATAAACTATTAAAAAAAAAGACTTATAAATTTAAAAGTTGTTTTTAATATTAACTAACAAATATTTATATAAAAAATTAAAACTTTTAAAATTAATTACTTTAAGCAAAATAAATAATATATTAGTTTTTTAACAATAATATTATTCAACACATTCTTTTCTAAAAGATACCTTTTTTACATAATTCTACTTTTTTCGAATGAAGATGATTTAAAAATCTAAATTCTTCTTTCTTTTAAATTATTTATTCATGAATTTATATTTTCAAAGCATTTTTGATTGAACAGTTGCAACTAAAATCATAAAGACAAATAAAAACAAAATGATGCTAGAAATATCATTTTTACTCATTTTCTTAATTTCATTTTATAGTTTTTTTTTAAAAATATATTATCAAAATTTGTATAATCTGTATTTTACTCAAAAATTGTTTTTTTTTACAGCAAGTCTTATTAGAAGTTGATAGGTTATTTAAACTTTTAATTTATGCATTTTACTCATATTAAATAAAAAAATTTAATTTATAAAATCACAAAAAAAAATAATGACAACCAAATATGATCAAACTATTTTATATATTCAACTAATAATAAGTCTTTCAAATTATTAAATATAATAACTTTTTATTATTATTCTGTTACAGATTATGTATATACTAGTAATATACAATATATAATATTTAAAATATTTTATAAACAGTATATTATAGTACATATAGTTATAGTTAATAGTAGAATTCATTTAACAAATTAATATAATTATAGCATATACTGTAATTATAATGCTGTAGTATCATAACTAAAATATCACTATATTAAAATATAATAATAATTGTATTTAGATACCATAATGCTATAGTGTTAAAATATTATCTCTTA